TTGTATGGAAAAACAAGAAGTCATTTAGCACTTTGTTCTTACTTTCCTTTTTTCTTTTTCTTTTTTTTTTTTTTTTTTTAAAAATTTAAATTTTGATAAAATTCAATGAGGTCAAGGACCTTCCTGACACCTAGCTATCATTCTTGCTTAAATACCTTTAGGCTTTTATACAATTTTCCTAAGAAGTTCAGCTGCTAAAATTCCATTAGAATTTTTTGCCTATAGCCTTAGGAAATCTGTTATGATTCTTTGCTATTGATAATTTTTAAAATACCAAAATATAATAAGGTAGCTATTGTTTATTCTGTACTTTTATCTTTCTTTTGAAGCAGATTCCCCTCCAAAAAATTGAAAAATAAGAACATGTCACTTTCCATTTTCTATTGTTTTTAGCATCAAAATGAGTAAAGTACGTTTTCAAAGATATAGGCTAACAAATTGTGAAATATATTATTATTATTTTAATTTTTAAACTAGTATTAATAAGAACCCTATTAGAATTTTCCTTTTTAACATTTTCTTCATAGAGGAAACTAAAATTTTGAACATACATTGTGACATTAAAATATATAGGCCTATATACCTGTATAGTCTTTTTAACATCGTTTTTTTTATCATTTAATTCTCTCCGATCTGTGTGGTCACCAAGAGGACTCTTTTTTCCACACCCATCGTGGGTTCGGCTAGGTCAGTGACGTGTTATCCAATGGGCAAAAAATACAATTGCCTGGGGCCTCCACCAACAGGGGACCTCAAACCAATCTTTTATAAGAAAATATTTCCTCCAAAAAATTCCCTCGAAGAAAAATGTTTGAAGTCAACTTTGTACTGTACATGGGGTCCTAATTCAAGTTTTCCCGGGACCCACGAAGCTACAACGTTCCACTGGGACAGGCTTAAAATAGGGGCGACAGAGTGGCAAGGAAGAAACCCGGACTAGAAATGTACTTACCAGAATTTTTATATTGGGCTTAAATCGAGATTCTTTCAACACATCAATATCGATATTGTAAATATATATTGATTCCTGTTTGATATATCAATTACCGACAGAGCACTATCCCGAACTGACTTTTATGAAAAATTCCTGGGGAGTTACGTCTATAGTTAATTTATCTAAATCTAAGATAATTAATTAATATCATTTATATACGTTTGTTATTGCAATCAAAAAAAAAATTAAATTAAAAATTATATATTATTATTTCTAAGTATATAGCCCAATTAATTGTTCAACACAACGAATTTCAAAATTCAATATGAACTTTCAGCAATTTATTTATTTATATCTTTAAAAATATATTTAGTTTTTATCTCATCTTATGCAACTATTATTTCTATTTATACAGTAGCGAATCTGAATTAGCTAATTATAATTAGAAAGACCTATATTTTAAATCATATTTTATCATCAGATCCATAAGCACATTAACATTTATTGATAAAACGATAAAATAAAATTAAATTTATAATATTCTCAAAATTTATCTGTAGTATTGATAAATAAATAAATATAGCCTATATAGGCTAAATATAATGTGATTTATCTAATAATAACTGTAAGTTAATGCCAATTATATGCTTTTTCATCCCTTAATAATACTGTACTAAATGAAACATTAATGCAATATATTTGCTAACACTTTGTAATTTAGTTAGTTCCTAACATTGTCTTGGCTGCTTCTCAATAATTGTAATTAATATTTTTTGTTTGTTTTTAAAGATCCATTGGTTAAAATTATTATAAAATTAATGCAATTTTTATTAGAACCTATATTTAAATGTACAATTTTAGAATATTTAATGTTCCTTAAATTTGTTCTTATGACTTAACTTACAGAATCACTCCAATTTTCCTGCTTTTGCATAAGGCATTTAATTCTTATTATTTCATCAATTGTTTTTTTTCTTGTAATTATTATATCCCAATCCAATTTTATTCGTATTTTGAAAGGTAATATGAATGCAGGAAAATTAAGAAACTCTTGTAAAAATTAAGTCTAATTTCCTGTAGACTTCATTTTTTCATTATAATCATCATCACTATTAATTAAGTAAACAGAAAAATCATTAAACTTAAGAAAATGTGTTTTCTTCGTGATCAGTTTCTTTAAATATTGGTACTGATGAGAGTTCCTTAATAAATCTGTTTTGAATATTTGAAGAAATTCACTACACTATTTATTTATTTATTTTTCGAATTTTAGATTATATTTTAAAGCAAATTGAATATTGCATATGGAATTTATATTCTTGTTTTCAATGAAATATAAAATATTTTAAATAATTATCGAAATATTTCCATCTCCTCGTTATAATAAATTGGTTTTATATGCGATTTGTTTCGTGTTATAAGCCATAATTTAAGAAATAGATTGCTCTATCAAAGAGAATTAAACAATATTATTATTATTTTTTTTTAATTTAAATATGTATAAAATACTGAATTTTATCATTCTCTATCAACAATAATATAAATAAATACTTTCGCATGTTAAATTTAAAAGATCTAAGAGTTATATTTTATAAAGCAAACGTTCAAATGCGGAAACATTTAGTTTCAAATCTATATATGCTTACAGAAGTTTATATTTTTGTTTGTTTTGTGTATGTGTATTTATTCAATTTTTACTACTCTAGGTGCTAAAATATGGTAATTATTACACAATTAGATCTAGGCTATTAATAATATTTTAAGAAGGCGGAATATTAAAATCTTAATATAAAGAGAACAAAACACCAGTGTAAGAAGTGACATCTAAGATATTAGAAACAATAAGAGATTTTTTTATAGAGTAAAATTTTTAAAATAATTATTAATTATTTTTATTGCTTTTTCCCCAATAAGGTATTTAGTATAACAATAACATTCCTTTTTTTTATAAATATCAATTTTAATTATAGGAATCCAAAATATGAAACCTATGGTTATCAATAGCAACTTTTATTCGTTACAGATACCTATTCATTGCTGAAGCGTCGTTTTCACGCAAGAAATAGCAACAACTATAGAATAAGTCATTAATATTCTTAGAATGTCGTGTTCTATATGCGATAAAGCTTAGCTGTAATGAGATACCAATTAAGATATTGTCATTCTTTGATAAGTAACAAGATTATCGAGTCTTATTTAAATTTTTCTTTCATTACTATAAACATCGCTATAATTTTCTGTCTTTAAATAATATAAATAACAAAAATGCTATTCGGTTCGGCGTTAATGTTGCAAAAAATTATCTAGCATATTTAAGATGGCAATTGATTAGAATGGGGGTCACCAAAGTATTCAGTTTAGGGGATTAAAAGTTAGTTGGAACTTTATTGGAAGCAGTTTGTTAAATTATTAGTGCAATGGGTTATGTACGTAACAGTTCAGGATGTAAATTTGCATCCTGTAAATAAAAGTTTTCTATGAAAACTGTGCAGATTAATATTGGCTTGCCAGACTTGTTGTTGCTATCTGTATTAGCACGTAAAGGGAAAGGTGGATAAAAGATTAAGATATTCTTGGAGAGGTCAACAGTCAAAAAAGTTTGGGAGTCCCAATTAGAGATATTGTTGATGCTAATTTTCAAATATCAACTGTCAGATTTTAGAGTGTAATTAAACTTCATAATTTGGCCTATAGGTGNATAAAAATTTCCAGTTATAATTTTAGTTTAACATATACTAAAATGATCTCATCCCCGGGGCAAACGCGTCCTATATGAAGGTGGTTCTCCTCAAAAATATCACCAACCAGCTTAGATAACTAAAGAATGTAAGCTATTTAGGACACTGATAGGACAACTTTTTCTACCTTAGCCATTACGCCAATCCAATGTGACTTCGGTTTCTTTGTCCATTTGATATTTTGCAATACCTTCCCCGAAGATTTTTTTCTCCTAGACATTCAGAATCGATTTAAGTTTCTTTTGTCGTAACAATCTTATCAACTTAACTTATAGAATTCTTTAAAAATGATAATATATTTATCGATGAATCATTAATTAATATAAATTTAATGAAAAAAAAATTATCTTGGTTAATGTTACGCTCCAGTAAATTTAGCTTTAGACGCCAATTATAAACTTAAATGCTATTTTCGAAAGTAAAAACATTTATTTATTGTTCTTTTAAGTACTCCGAATTTTTAAATATAGACTATTTAATATACAAAGCAACGGAAATCCGTTATTTTTAGGTCTTACTGAAGTAGCTTCATTCAAGTCAATAAAAACAATGCCACATCTAGAAAATAATTTAATTGTGGACATTACGTATCTATTTCTCATGCTTTAAATTCGTTTAAATCTCAAATATTTATATTCTAAACTTTGTCTACACTCGCATTAATTTAGTAGCCTAATAAAAAGTTTAAAGCATGAAAAAATTTCCTTAATAGTTAACTCTTAATGTAGTGATTACCCGATGTAATGAATAATTTTATTGAGCTTTGTTATTTTTTATGTATGTAGTAAACATTTAATGAATATTTTAGCTTAGTTATTTGAGAGTTCACTATATCGAGAACCCACTGTATTTCAAATGGCAAATTTTATAACCGACTTATAAATGTTGTAAGTGTAAACCGATTTTGTAATGTAAAATTCGAAAGTAAAATTTAAAAATAGAATTGCTTGACTGTTTTATATTTGCAGTTTCTCCTTTCAGCGGAAGTAGACTACTAATGTCCTCAAAATTATTAATTGTTGAAGGTTATAATTATTGATGAAGGTCTATATTGGTCCTTGCAACACGCTACATTATATTATACAGCTTGATACAAGGACTGATATCTGTTAATAACTTCGTGTCATAAATTTAATAATGAGTAAAACATACAAAGTTTTATACTGTATATTTATAATTAAATTTGCTTTAAATTAATTTTTAAACTTCTTCAAAATATAGAATTCTATAAAAATAGCTTTTCTGTATAATTTATATATATATATATAGAAGATGTAAAATGTGATTTATTGATGAGGAAGAAGTTAATCTTTTCAAAAAACACATACCCTATGGGGATAAGCTAAATGCCACGTAACATTGATCATTGCTCCTGATGCTGCTGGAAGTTGCGTGACTGCATCACCTAAAAAGAAAGATTCAAGATAATTAAAATTTTAAAAACTATGTTATTTTAAAGGTAATCTAATTTAAATAAATACAGCACTATATTGTATTTTAGTATTAGTGTTGTAAGTTACTATAGAAGAAATCTTTGTAGAGAAACATCTGTTCTTAGAAAATGTGCAATAAAACTTATTTGATTACTTAAATCGTATCTGTGAATGTATCACGATTGCGTGAATCACGTAAATCGTGCCGACATTCGCATTTGTGTAGATTTCCCTAGGCTCCTATACGTTCATTTAGAACACTAACTAAGTTATCATCATTGTCAAAGCCTGTATAAGGTAAAAACTATTGTGACTCTTATTCTTACATAATTTTTACTAATGCAAAAGAACATTTAAGCATGAATTCCTAACATCATCGTCATGATAATATCTGTTTTTCATTCTTACATGCATCTGCCTTATATGAATTTTACATAATCATTAAGATGTTAAGTAGAACACGAACAAAAGGTCAATGAAATTAGGTGACACAAGACGGTATCTGAAGATTCTCATATAATAATAATAATTATCTGCATGTTTATGCAAAAATTTCAAAGAAAAAAATTCCATTTATGTTACTACTTATTATTAATCTTGCAGATGTCAAAAAATAGCACCTATTTTTATTATTTTTTCCTTTATTTTTCTAAGTTCTAAGTAGTTGAAGCCAATGAGGATATTAATATTTATTCTAATATTAATATTAACTTTATTCTAATATTAATATTAGAATAAAGTTGCAACTCACATTACTGAGAAAATTATTCTTGATATTTAATATAGTGTTTATGTATAAAATAAAGTTAATGATAATGTACTTAAGATAAGAGTATAAGTACTTGCTGATGATAAAATAATAATAAAATTATATATAAGCCTACATATGTAATAAATAATTTAACAAAGTATTCATTTTGAAGATATAAAATTATTCTATTTATCTACTCCTTAATAATAGATATAAAACATTTTATAGAATATATAATAAAAATACTATATTGAAGTATCATGTTATAAAATAATAAAGTATTAAAATTTATTTTAATTAATTTATAAATTNATAAAACTGGTTATAAAATATTTTTACTTTAAATTTGTTAATTTATTTATCTAGATAATGCAATTTCTTTAAATAATTGTAATTATATTTATGGATTCTTCTTGAAATTTGTATGAATTCATTTACATTCATTTAAATTAATGTGAATTTTATTGATTAATAAAAAATTTTTAAACTTTTATGAAACTTTATATTGAGATATTTCAGCTTTTCTTTTTATCTGTATGAAGAAGGAAAATAAATAGCAATATTAAACTACCTGTTTTTCAAGAAATTTACAAGACTATAAATTTTTATTTAACCTTGAGATTTAAAGTACCAGCAGTAGACTGTAACTTGTAGGTTTTGATTATAATTCTGATTATAAAATAAGTTTTTACAGATTTTTAAAAAATGTCTAAAAGCTATTAAATTTAATATTATCCTTACTTTAAAAAAGGAAAAAAAATAGAAAACTGTTTATACAATTTTTAAAATTTATGACATGATATACAAATTAAATATCAAATTTTTAGATATTAAAATATTTAAAATAATTAAAATTAAAATAATGGAAACCAGTTTAATTTAATTTTATAAAATGAATGAAATTTCATTAAATATTTAATAAAATATTGCTGATTTTTTAAAAATTTAAATTTTGATAAAATTCAATGAGGTCAAGGACCTTCCTGACACCTAGCTATCATTCTTGCTTAAATACCTTTAGGCTTTTATACAATTTTCCTAAGAAGTTCAGCTGCTAAAATTCCATTAGAATTTTTTGCCTATAGCCTTAGGAAATCTGTTATGATTCTTTGCTATTGATAATTTTTAAAATACCAAAATATAATAAGGTAGCTATTGTTTATTCTGTACTTTTATCTTTCTTTTGAAGCAGATTCCCCTCCAAAAAATTGAAAAATAAGAACATGTCACTTTCCATTTTCTATTGTTTACAAAATAAGACAAATTTTTTAAATTATTCCAATTTAAATAAAATACAAAAAAAACGTTTTTACATTAAATATAATGTAATATTTTAAATTTATATATAATCATATAATATATCATGGTAAAATGAGTAAGCTTTTTTTAGTAAATCATTATGAAAAAAATTGAGGGACTGCTTTTAAGGATAGTAAGAATTAAAAGAAAATAATAATAGGCAAACAGGTTCAACCAGTGTTTATTACTTTTTGTAGTTCCGCAACGCTGATAACTTTTACTTCCCACTAGAATAGCTCAAAGTTTTCAGTGAACTCGGATTTCAAAAATTTGACCCGATATTACTTTCTTTTCTAATAAAATATATAATTATTGTTATACTTTGTCTAGTTTTTGGGTTTTTTCAGGCCCATTGTTGGTTTGACCAGGCCCACAATGGGAGTGGTTGGGTATTCAGGGACGGGACAGACCGCCCATGAAAAATTCTTGGGGCTATTAAATTAAATTTCTCCTCCCCGTTTAGATTTCAGATCCCCCAGAATTGTAGGCTGATGTGTTTACCGCCTCGACCATCTGGCCATCATTATGTTTATACTAACAAAACACAGTTTAAGTAAAAAAGAATCAAGTAAAGATAAAATCTTAAGAGTTAAATGATAGCCGGATTTTCAAATAAATTACTTTGAAATGCTTAGCTAATTTAGCTATTATCTAGAAAATTAATCTGCTTCAATTACATAGCTGATATAATAATATTTTATAATATTTATGTCGAAGAAAAAACTCTTAAATATAGTTTTATATCAACATTTTTCAAACTTTTCTTTCTCGTGGCATACTTTACTATTTTAAGGTACACCGGCCTCATAGCATAAGAAATTCATCATGATGTAGTAATTTCCTATGCCGTCAGGTCGTAACACAAAACGAAAACAGAAATTATTAATGGTTCAGATTAAAAACTGAATTTAACATTAGAATAAAATAATTTACAATAATTTATAAAATTTTACGTATGAAAAACCAAACTATTATTTGAATCGTTTTCGATTTTCGTGAGTCAATTGAGAGTGTATTGAAGAATGAGAGTGTAAAAACTTTGTATTAAAAAAGATTGTAGATTATTAGATTTAGGGTATCGAAGCACATATAAATATTGATAATTTGTTGCACATGTCATAACAACGAGAAATGCTATTAGGCTATAAGTAGACCTATAAATACATCTATTTTTATACAGCAATACTTATTTAGAATGGAAATTTTTCTGAATTTCATTGTCAATTTAGTATATAAATCCAATTTATTTTTCAGAAAACTAACTTGAAGAAAAATGCTTTATTATTATTTATGCTAATTAACTTATTCGGCAGAGAAGATGATTGTTGAGGCTTTAATTAGTTTATTGATCCTTCAAAATAATTAAAATATTGATACATTTAACGAAACCTGTATAAATTTCTAACATAGAAAATTGTAAGCAAGTGTAATAGTAAATGTAGTGTAATAGTAGATTAAGTAGGTTATATATTATTTAAATGTTCTCATTATTATTTTAATTTTCTATACTTCATGTTTGAATATGAAATATTATGATATATTTTGATGTTTTTATCTAGATCCACTATGTAACTGAGAACAGTGGACAGTAAAAGTTCATTTTCTATGTCCTTTCGCGACAGAATCTGCTTCTTCCCACTTAATATTTAGGCTATATTTCGAAGGTCATCTTTTAATGTAAAATTATTTTATTAAATTTAATTCAATGTAATGTATCATATTTTACGTTTAGTAACTAAAATATAATTAGATAATTATCATAGATTGATGGGCAGATTAAAACATAAAATCCTATTTGTGATATGTAAGAATTTCATTCTAAAAAATATATTTTTTTAAATGCTCTTTCGTTTCAGTATACAGTATTGTATTATTTTCAATGCATGTATATTATTGATGTCTACTCAATATATTAAAACTTTCACGCGTTTTGTTTAACACTAAAACATGAGAATTATTCGGAAACCAGATGAGTAAAGATGAAATTTCAACGTATTAAACATGTCAATTCGAAATTTTTAAATTAATAATTTTAATCAATAATCTATTTGTATACATGATAGAATGCTATCATTATGACTATGAACTGTCGTATATTTCGTACGCCATTTTGATGTGTATTATTATTACATTTCATAGGAATGCAACCTCAATTTATGACACTGAGTCTATGGGAAATATGACAGCCCTTATGACGGGGGATTTCCAAGAATTAGGTTTAAAAGCGGGGTGTACAGTTCTATAAACTGTCTTGACATACAATAATGTAATGAATCAGCTGTAATTCCTACTATATCCGGGATATTTTACTTTTTTACTATTTCTTAATTGTTTCTGCATAAATTATCTCTAAGGCGCTGCTCTTTACGAGACATTTTTTATGGATATAGAGTTTATATTACTTTATATTTAGGACATTTGTTTTATATATAATATAAATTAAATGTCATACTCATAAAATCTTTTTATTTTATATAAATATAGCAGAACCTAGTAATTACACTGGAATTCTAAATTAAATAGATTTAAATATTATATAACATTTCCAATATTAAGATAACTTATATCATAAAACGAAATAAATAAATTGTATTTAGATAACATAAGCAATATATAAAAAATGAATTAATGTAGAAATGAATTAATATAATTTTTTTAAATAAAATAATAAATTTAAAATTTAATTAATTTTTTCTCATGGAGACATAAAATTGAGAAAATAACAACAACACATTTTAAAAATTGGACCAGATTAATTTATATAATTAAAACTTCCCAAAAAATTGTAGGAACGTTTGTCTATTTAGAGATCTTAGAAACTTGCTTTGAATAATAGAATATTATTTTACTAAGTAACCTATATTTACATTAATGATATCTATTTATTATGAACTATATCTTGAGAATTTAATTTTTATCATTGAAATAAAAATTTTTAAATTGAATGAGACCCACTTGCTTTACAAATTGTTTCATTGTTTTCCCAGACAAAAATTAAAAATGTATCAATAAGAAAAAGCAAAAGAATTGTTTCCATTCTAAAAATCTGTAATTATTCACTTTCGAAATTATTATTTTAATTATGTAATTTTTGATAAGAATCATTTTTGTATGGAAAAACAAGAAGTCATTTAGCACTTTGTTCTTACTTTCCTTTTTTTTTTTTTTTTTTTTTTTTTTTTTTTTTCCTTTTTTTTCTCCAGCTATTTCGTTAAAATTATTTAGGTTATGTAAAAAGAAACTTGGCTATTTACTCAATAATTTAAATANATATGATGAAAATAAGCTTACAAATATTATTTTTTCGGATTACTAATGAAACCATGTAATGTAATATGAAAAAAATAAGATAATTTTTTTATTTTTATAAAAAATTATTCCTGCTAACGAGTTAGGAAATAGTATTATAGTACTATGCAGACTTAATATACAGTAGTAGAAGAGCCAAAGAAGATAATAGTTTATAAACTCTTGACTGTTACTATTTTGTTTGAAATTGAAAATCATATGAGAAAATTTATCATCATGCACAATTAAAACAGTTTCATTACGTATAATTTACTTAATAAAATTAATTTAATTTAAAATGTAAGCATTTAAATATATTATGAATAAAAAAATGATAATTTAAAGAATAGAATCTCTGAATATATGACGAATATATATATTAATCTGAATGAATATGCTCAATACTTTTTTACTATAGTCAGTTTGTCTCTATCCTTTGCTGGATGAAAGCTTCTCCTAAAGTCTCCCATTCTTCTCGTTGTATTGCATTATTCTTCAATTTCTTTCCTGCAAGTTATTTAATTTCGTCTTCCTACCACCGCTTTAGTCTTCCTCTTTTTCTTTTCCCCCTATTTTCCAATCCAGTATAATCTTGGTCCATCTGTTGTCTTAAATGTTGTATTGAGTATTATCTCAATTTACAAAATACAAACTATTTTTGTTGTCATGATTCTTTTTATATTTGAAAAAAGAACATTAAATGTTTTCCTAGTTTTGAAATTTTAATTAGCTTTTAATATAAAATCTTTATTTTAATTAATTCTACAGGTTTATTTGTAAATACTCTGTCAAACCTACGTAAAGTATTTTTATGCCGTGACCTACTTTGAAACCAGAAAATACGTCTGTTTATACCATAAGATTACTTGAATAGTTGTTAATGTTTCATGAAATATTTTTAGATGTATTTTAACAATCTCGAAGCTAAATTAATGAGGTAATTAAAGAGTTTTTTTATTTCGAAAATTAGCATGGAAAGAGCTATTAGCTTAAGAAACAGAATAATAATGGAATAATAAATTCCAAATAATGTATAACATTTTTCAAGTTGAAAAGATAACCATGTTTGTTTTTACTAATATAAAATAATTATTATAAATTTCTGCTTATGACACGGGAGCCGTATTAGTTTCCTTGAAAGGGTGTGTCGTAGAGGTGAACTAGTCGACAGACCGGTCAAACGACAGCGGAGTCACTTCCATGGAGAAACTGGCGCAAAATAATTGAACAAAAAATAACAAAGCATTCCTTCATAACACTATAATGATCCAATAGGTAGAAATAAATATATTTATTTCTTCCTTTTCCTCTACAGATAAATATCGAATTCCAACAATTATAAGATACTTCACTTATTGTTTGAATTATAAAATTCCATTCGATTATCAAATAGAAAAATTGCATTTGGATAGTTATGTGCAATGATTGCAACATGTTTCTATTATAGATGAAGGAAGACATCGTGAATGGAGGGCAACTTCGAATCAAAATATCTGTCATATGATGAAGCAGTCACGCTTTAGTAGCAGGGTTCCAGGCGTACTGTATAGTACATTGCCAGAGAAAGAACACTCCTGCTTCAAGGTAACAGGAAGTGTTATTTATGACGAGCTTGGATGACTTATCTAGTCCACATATTTATTTTCGAAACTGGACATTTATGACAGGATTCTAATGCTCTTTTGTAATTAAATTCTTAAAATATCATTGATAAAACAAGAAGTTTTAATTTTAACGAATTTCTTTAAGTCTGTACGATATCTTTTATTTATAAACTTAAATATTTCAGAGTATAATTTAAAACATCATGAGGATTAATCATGAGATTTAGTTATTATAAGGAAAATAAACAATGACATTTAAAATATAAATCTATGCTTTTGTTGCATTATTTAAAAAGTTATATTCATTTTAAATTTATATATTATATATATATTTATTTTAGGCTATAAAATTGAAACATATTATTATTGAATTTTTTTTATTTACTTTTTTTTTTATCAATAAAAACAATTATTGATAATAGACTTATGTTATTTCTAGTTTTAAGTATTAAAACTTAACTACATTTATGTATAAATGATAAACATTTTTATTATCTTATATTTAACCCATATCTTTATATAGTGCAGTAAATTTATTACTACTATTATTTGTTTTTTGTAAGTATTTACTCTAAAATAACGTATCGAATGTTGTCTATACTACTCATTATGAAATTTAAGTCAAGAGAAACGAGAAGAAGTAGAATTCATTTGTCATTCTTTAGATTGTTGGCCTTAATGCAGAATTTAAATAAATTGCAAAATCTATTAAAACGTTTAACAAAAGAAGTTCTTACATCACATTAAATTGGGAAAGATACTCGCCCAAAGCAAATTTTTGAACCTAAAAGAGGGAAGAACATCTTTACGCCGTGCACGAATCTCATTAATAATACTTCTTCCTCATTATTGTCCTAGTTATTATTGGGTTCCTTTATGCATGAATTTTATTCATTAACCTTCAAATAAAGACGAGAATTGTTTCTTGATGTTCAAATAAAGAAACAAAAACTTGTCGGAAGTAAGTATGGGAAAAGAAAGTATTATGCTTAAGTTAGCATCATCTAGCGGAAATGACTGTCTGGTTTTGCTTGAGTGGTATCCGCAGGAGCAATGAAGTGGCAATGAAGTCATTTGTCTTTCTGCTCAAAATTTTATGCTCATCAGAGAAAGACGTTTCAAGAAATAACTATCAATTCAATGGAAAGAATATATTACTTATAATCCTTATCAATTTCATATCTTATTTTTATTTTTACACATTGTAATAAGGACAAAGATTCACGAAAGAGCGGTTCTATGAATGCAAGAAGACAATATTTTTAAAGGGCCGCTTATCAAATTTTGAAGTAATCTTTAATCTTAAACAATCTTTCTTAATGATTTCTTATTCACAAAGCAGGTTAAGATGTATTTAATTATGTGTAGCTTAAATAATTGCAAATAATCAGATGCTCTGACTTTAGATAATCAATGTGAATAAGATTTCCTTCTGAATGATCCTCAGAAGGAGTATTGACACATTTGATACCGGGGTTGATCTAAAAACCTACATTACTTAGGCTGTTTGAATATTGTTAAGTATTGATAGAGTATCAGTGATATTAAAAATAATAAATTATTAATGTCACTGCAAAAAATTAGATAAAAGAAGATAATAAACCACAAGTGAATATCATACAAGTGAATCCAATCGAGTCCACTTAATTTGCGTTTTCAGGCCACTTTGCGATCTGAATGACCCATATTAGCGAAATTAATGGAGCTTAATCTGTCCTATAAATCATGATACATAAAATTATTTGCTTAAATCTAAATCTTTATTCGTCCGAAAATTCTTTACTTTTAATTATAAATTAACCTCATTAAATACTACAGATTTCAGATGGTTTCAGTTACACTCTCTTGAAATATGTTCAGTTATCAATTAATTATTGAAACGACTGAAACTATTTGAAATCATTATCACTAGGTCATATTTCATAATATAAAAATAAATAATTCATAATTAATTATTTGTTTATTTAGTTATAATTGATAGATTAAACTCACCTTTTGGCATTCCACATGGTGCTTTGGTTCTTCCGTTATCGAGAAAATCCAAATCATATTTACGTGCAGGTGGATAGGTAAGAGCAACGTGTGCTAGACAATGACCAACGATACAACAAAGCAAATAAAACACCCCAGTCAACATCACTTAAACAAACATGAAAGTTTCGTTTTATGAACGTTAATCCGATGTTGCTCGTGTGTAGTTTTTCTACCGACTGTGCGAGGAACTGTCTTCACGATTGGACTCACTTATTTCCACCAGTCTGTCACGTGATTACAGGTAAGACTGGTTTTTCAAGAGGCGACTTCATCGAATAGGAAAAGTTGGTTTTTATTTCCGGAATCTGGCTATTTTTCAGTTTATTTTCAATAAATGAAACTATTCAAAGTGAGAATAACTTTCTCTAAGAAAGTTGCTGAATTTTTATCAAATTAGAAAGTTTTTTTGTAGGTTTAGTTGTTTAAATTTTCTTTTATAAACTAACATTTAAGACAATCAAAAAAAGGTTTTATTAAATGCACTGTTAAAAGTAAAAAATATTTAGATAATTTATGGTTATTTCTTACGATTATGCACGTAATTTTAATAGAAATTGTAATTTTAACGAAATTGTCATTAGTAAAACTAAATGACAACGAAATTTTTACATCAAATTACTCAAGTTCACATAAGAATCTTTTTTTTTCTGATAATAAAATTAATCCTGTTGAATAAAAATTATGTTTAGGAAGTCCTTGTTTTAACGGACTTGAAATTAAATTTAAAAATAAAAAAATTTTAAATCTATTTAGAATAATTCATCCTCATTACATGTCCTCGTTTTTTCTGATACTTGAAAATTTTTCTTCGAATAGTCTCAATAAATAGGATAACCTTAGGCTTCGGTTAATCTTATTTTTCTTATATACAGTCGATAATATTTGTAAATGATCTGACGCTAATATTAAAGGCAATTTATACTATATACTCTTCCTCTAAAAACAAAAATTCGAATATATATGATTCATTCGCGTGAATTCTTAGATAAGATTTAATAGATGTAAAACTAATTTCTGTTTAAAAATAAATAAATAACCATAATTACAATGTGATCTAAACAATAATGTAACTAGAATATCAATTGATTTAATTGTAGAACCTTTTGTAATTAAGTTAGGCCTATATCAAAATTAATGACTTATTTGGACCATCATATTGATTAGAAGTATATCTGTTATATCATGGAACTTTTCCTATATTTTTCATTTCAAAATTAAAATATAATATTTTTAAATATTTATTTAATTACTTTAATTTTTTATTTAAAGTATTTGATATGAAAATTAATAAAATATTTCATAACTTAACAATAATATAAACTTGTAAGAAAGAAAATGCGACCCTGTTTTGTTACTTTCAGTGATTCCTTTGTCTACGATTTCACATAGATACTGATGTTACAATAGCAGAATTAATGTGAAATAGTGGACAAAGAAGTCATTGAAAGCAATAGAAAGGGTCAAATGATTTTTTTTTATTCAAATTTATATCATTGTTAACTTATGAGTCATTTTATTAATTAATTAATTTAAATGTTGAATATTATAAATGAAAAATTTACAATTTATGCTACTTAAGTAATGAATGTATACATTTATAATATTCAACATTAACATTAAATAAAACGACTCATAAGTTAACAATGATATAAATTTGGAAGAAAAAATCATTTGACCTTTTTTGTTACTTTCTATGACTTCTTTGTCCACTATTTCACATTAATTCTGTCACTGTAACATCAGCATATAGGCCTATAAATAATGCAAAGCATTTTTTCTACCAAGCAACACAAGTTAAACATTTCTTGTAATTTGCATTAGTTGACTAAATATGACTGAGAGATGCAGTGCTTTAGAAGAATTTAATTAATTTATAATTTATTTCTCAGTTTTATTATCCCAAAATACTGTTTGTAAATGAATTTAATACAATTTATAAAATATACTATTATAAACAGTTTCCTTTTACTTAAAAACATGAAAGATTATTTCTAAACAATATTTTTCATGTAATGTACAAAATAATTCAAAACTTTGTAGAAGTATGATTTGTCTTATTAACTAGGTTGTGTAATGCTAGAATAAAACAAAATGAGAACGTTAAAGTATCAAAAATCATCGTAACATTTTTTACGAGATATATACGTGAGATATCAGGTATTATTGTCATAAATTATTAAGAACCACGCCTGGAATGCCAGGTGAATTTAACTTATCTTAAAAAAGTTCAAATAAATCTTTTCATGATAAGACGTATCTTTAAAACAGCAAAAGGTTTTTAATTAGGAGAGTATTTAAAAAATATATATATATATATGATCTAAATGACTAATTAATGAACTTAAGTTATGCAAGCGTGAACCTGCGAGATTCTTTACACGTAACTTTACATAATGTAAAACACGTATTATACAATATTATACAAGATCTAGCATCATAACTAGTACAGGATTCCGAGTACTGCACTAACACTGAGAGTCTCAGTGTTAGTGTTATCGACTCTCAGTGTCAGTGTATGTGTTTGAGGCCTTTAAAGGCCTCATACACACATCGAGATGGAAGGAGCTAGGGATTTTTCCTCGGGTCCGGAGAAAACTTAGGAATCTATAGTGATTTCTATCTCTATAAAATTAACATTATTAACAGAAAATAAAATCTTCAAGACTTTTTTATTATTAACAAAGAAACATTCTACACATTTTATATGTTCAAAAAACAAAAGGCTAAAGGAGCAACTATACCCTGGGTCTTATACCAGCTCGCGTAGGCTCTAGTTATCTACGCCTACAATCACTACTGTATGTAGGCAATATATGCATGTTATCCTTAATGGTTCACAATTTATTATTTATTTCGCTGTTTTTTTATAAATAAAGATTTAAAAATTTACTTTTAACATTTCTGAATTTTAGGAAATAGGTGAATAAAAATACAGCTAATTACATTTCAATAGATTTCGTTTAAGAACATATCTAATATGACATGAGTTTAAATACCCTATACAACTATGTACCAGACTACATTTTAAATACCCTATAGACTCTAAAACGCCATTAAATGACTTAGTTAGGTTTTAAGTGTAAATAAAAACGTTGGGTTTGCATTCCGAAAAGACTAATATTTTTTTAACATATAATTAATTAGCTCTAGTACGTGACTGTGTTTTTTTTTTTTTTTCATTTCGCATATACATAATCGAGTAAGAATGGTAATCTCTTGCAAACAATAATATATATATGTCACATTCGTGCCCTGAAGACTTTACGCATGACAGCTTGGAATTTGCTGTGTTGGTGATCTCGAAAATAAGTTTAGAGCTATAATTTTGAATGAGTCATCTGGTAAGAATTGTATTATTATGTATATAATAAACAAAAATCAATATATTAAGTAAGAAAGTTTTATTTTACTTTTTCCATGTTTAAATTTAAAAATATATATACAGTAAAGTATATAGGTTTATATTAATATATATATATATATATATATTTAATATTATATTTTGAATTATTCGCTTGTCTTATACACCACAATTACTGTCTGTAAATATCTAAAATATTAATCTCACTATAGTTTTATATTATTCATTATGCAATGCTATCAGTATCTGATAATTAAAGCAATTTCCCTGATTGTTTACTTNATGAATATTTTCTCTTCAATTCTGAATCTAAATATTTATTAATTATTAATTAAAGAAAGTAAACATATAACAAAACATAAGTACAACGACAAAAACAATTAAATATCGTTTATCTATTATTTTTTACGTTGTAATTAATTTATAATAATAAGTTATTTCTCATTAGTGTTACTAATAAACGGTGTTAATATTTGTTTGAAAATGTCAAATATTCTCAGATACGTTTACTTAATTTTTATGAGCCTCGATTTTAATATAAAACTGTTAGAAATTACAATCAAAATATCAAATTTTTTGAACTATGTAACAGAAAATCAGCTTTATAGGCCTAAATATTTTCTTTTGCACGTCTATGCTAGTCAAGTCCTTTTATTCTAAAAAGAAAATATTTTTAATTAGTTGTGTTTATCACATAACACCATAACATTACCATAATAAGTTATACTGAATATGTGGATTTAAACAGTATTTTTCCCTAATTGTATTTTAATTTACATACAAAGCATACATAATTTATACATATATCATTGTATTGTAAGATATTACTAGTAGATTATTCTTAAAATTATGAATATAGTCGTAACATCATTGATTAATTTTATCACATTTGTTATCATTTATCTAAAAATTAAATATTACAAAAATCAATATTCAGTTCTCAGTGTGGAATAGCTTTGTTGGGGATCTGATTTTTTTCACGTGTCTAACACCTAAATAGGGATCAGGTTCTCATAAAAGTTATCCCAAGAGGAATTTTCTCCCTTGGCAGATCATCCACGTGTTGCGTTGCGATATCTCATCAAAAATAAGTATTATTATTATTTTTTAAAGTTTATTCTAACATTCAAATTTATTATATTAGTTAGATTCTGCTTTAAAACCTAATTCTGAATAAAATAAATGGCAGTTTCGTTGAAATTTTATTCCATATTTCAAGTTGTCAGATTTCACAAAACAAAACTGAACTTATAGAAGTACTGTACTATACTATACGTGATATTTGTTAAATTCATTTTGCAATGAGAATTAAAAAAGTAAAATCAATAGTCGTTGTGTTTGAAAAGATGAGAATAATGGCAGCTCAATAGATTATAAAAATATAGGTCTATCTTATCGCGTGTAATCGTTTTCTCGTCCCTCTTCAAGGAAGAGAAAAATGATTATTGATTAGATTGTCTGTTTATCTCTACTCTTCCGTTTTAAAGAAAATCTAGAATTTTAAATAATTAAATTTTAATCTTTCATTTCTTTGTTCTATTTGCTGTTCTTCCACATTCCAATGCGAATAGTGAAATATACTTAATGAGTTTTATCCCTCTAGTATCTTAATAAACTTGTAGAACGCATTCCACGTCTGTGTTGCAATTTATAATAACTTTTTATAGGCTATATACAGTATTAATTTTATATGGATCGATTGAATAACTTTAAATAATAATCAATGATAACAAAAAAGAAACTGCAATTTAAAATACGACTTTTATGATAACGTATTAACGTCCCCCTTTAGACCATACTATTTAGTTT